CCACTCCCAGCTCTGACGCAGATTCTACTAATAATTCCTTTCAGCGTCTGCAACTGTGTAAAATACAACAAATATAGATACAGAGACTCATCTAAAAAATGGAAATATCTGCTGGTAATTATCGAAATTTACACCATAATTTCGATTCAAATTACCGGAATCTCTTATCTCTCCTCCTAGGTCAATTGGTTTTACAAAAAACAATAACAAACAAACAAAAACCCACAGAAATTGAAGCGAACGAACCCCGATTTGAACAGAAATCGACGCAAAAATAACCCGCCAAATGACTTCAAAACCAACACGATACCAGAAAAGAAGCGGAAACCTAGAAATGGCAGATCTAAGAAGAAAGGTTCGTGAGAGCTAGAGAGAGAAAATGAATGATTTGGGCAAAAGGGTTCTGCAAAATTAGGGTTGATGAAAAGGATCAAATCGACGATTTGTGATGGGATTTTTTTGCTTCGAACTGTTGGAAATCAAACTACAATGAAAGAAGATGATGAAGAAACAATTTTCGAAGAAGATTTTCACAGAGTCGTTTACCTGTGTTGCCACTGTATCGTAATGTTGACAATCTTCGTAGTCAACTTCGGTCAAAGGCTGGGCTTTCTGATTGCAGTCGCCATTGGCAGCATCCCATGAACGGGTGATTCTCAATCTCGACCCGCCTGAATCAGGAAGAAGAACCCACAAAAAAAAAAAAAAAAAAAAAAAGTTTTCATTTTTATTTTTAGATTTTTATTTTTATTTTTATACCATGTTATAATATTAAATTTTGTATTTATCAATTAAATATTTTTTTTTTTACATTTTTTAAATAAATAATGTTAAAAAAATATGAATTAAGCTTTGTACTTGCAATTTGTTATAAATTATTTTTGTATCTTCATTAATGACATTGAGATTAAAATCTATTGTAATATACGTAGAGTTGAAATTCATCCCAAGGTGATTCAGTCAATATGATTGGTGAGTTTTCTAGCTGCTCGGATAAAAAAAAACATAAAGTAAACGAGCAATATAAGTCACACGACCGCTAATATATATTTATACATGTGAGTAAATTTTTTCATTAAATCAATTATTTTAAGCCGTATGTTTTTCGTGAGTGGATTAAGGTAATGTCCCATTGGCTACAAAGTCAACTCATTGGTTAGATATCAACAATCGTTCCAATAATAAAATTTTATATATCATAATCAAACTCCTAAGTTTATATTTACTTTAATATATTATATATTCGTTCCTAGATTTATTTTATAACTAATATTATAATAAATTTTACGATAATTTTAAATTAAATTGTTGTTAATAAATAATAAAAATACAACTAGGTAAATATTGCAAGTTGCAACTAGGGGTACAAAGGTTAGGTTGAGTTAAAAAATCTTTTAAGCTTGCTCACACACCGTTCGGTGTTTCTCTAATATCATTTGTAACAGTCCAAGCTCTATTACTATATACTACCTACTTCGATCCGTCTTATAGTTTCAAAACGCGTTTAATAGGGATAAATTTTCACATTTTTATAAGAAATGTTTTGTTTCTCTCTCCAACCGATATGGGATCTCACACTTGTACAATATAAAAGCACAGTCCAAAATGGTTAGGTCATTATGAGTGATAAGGATAAGCTTTCATACCGTTCATTCTTATATTTGAAAGTTACGTTCTTAGTCTACAAGCGTTATCGCTCTGTATCAGTTTAGTTTGTAAATTTTTACACGTTTCGATTAGACTCAAGTGTTACAAAACGGGTTTATCGAGTCATAAATCATAGGTTACCAATTAACCAACCATATTCGCAAATGGCTTTAAATCGAGCTATGGTATCGTTTCTACAATCAGGAACCTGAAACAAAAACTCTCACATCCCCACACATGGATTCATGATAATACAATAAATAGACGAAAACCATTTATACAAGAAGATATGAAATTTGGTTCATAAATCCAAAAATATTTAACTAATGCATATTTAATATAACTTTATCTAATATTTCTATTTATTTCAAAATTTTATTTTAATTATTTAAATATTATTTTAGGTGAATATAATCTTAATTACCTTAATTAAAAAAATTTAAACTTTCAATGGTCACTTAATAAAACAATTATTTTATTTATCGCCTCTGTTTTTTTTTTTTTTGGTTCAGATTTATAGGGTTTAGGGTTTCTTCTTTTCGCCTATAAAAAGCTGCCTTCTGTGTCTCCAATGGCAGCCTCGGCTCTGAGGAGGGAAATTATATGATTCTCTTCCTTTCGTCTGAGTGTTAGATCTCTGTGACTATCATTAAGGCGTGATTGTTTGATTTTCTATTGTTGATTTAGTAACGGAGGAAGAAGCCTTATGTTGCGATTTTCTGGTCGGCCAAAATCTTCATCCGGAGAAATGGAAATCGATCAGAGAGTCTGATGTTAGGCAATGCCGAAGATCGGTATCTTCTACTGCTCGTTCTGATTTTTTCGCTCTATCGCTTCTGGTTTCTTCGTTCAAATCTCGATTTTCTCGTCCTTTTTGGTTTTGTATTTAATCTGGAGGTTTTTGATGTGAAAGGATGATAAAATCAGACGGATTCCCAATGATAATCCATGATATCACAACCAGCTACTTCTGATCACATCTAAATAACCTTGTAGATCGTATATTCTATTGCTCGTTCTGAATCTTTCGTTACATCGCTTCTGGTTTCTTCGTTCAAATCTCGATTTTCTCGTCCTTTTTTGTTTTGTTTTTAATCCGGAGGTTTTATAGTGAAAGGATGAAAAAAATCAGACGGATTCCCAATGATAATCCATGATATTACAACCAGCTACTTCTGATCACATCTAAATAACCTTCTATTTACTTCTGATTTTCTTTTATTTTCTTTTGAAAGAGCGATGATTGTCTCTTTGTTTTCATTGGCGTTTTCTCTATTTAGCAAGGTCGGCGATGTGATTATAAATATTTGCTACTCTTGATGGTATTTATTATATATGCCATTTGATGATCGCAAACCACCAAGATCTCTGAGGCCGTTCTAGATGCTTTTTTATCAAACCAATTTGTTGAATAATTTTCAGCTATACAGTCTCCAGGTTTTGTTCTTACTATTGAACTTCCAATAGATGTATATTTTGCTTAAATGGAAGAATCGTTGCATCGATTGTATTTCAAATCTAAATTAGTATTGAACGCAAACAATATCAAAAATCAATTACATCATAATGATATATCGAGCAATATTAAAAAATCTCTTCCCCGTATCATTTCATTTATGGTACAGCCCTCGACCTTGGCTTTAAAAAGGATGGTTGACCAAGCTCTTGCCTTGGGCGGTACTGTTAGGATTGCATTGCGTTGGGCTGTACTGTTAGCATTGCAGATACTCTAGATGAACCCTAGTTTTGTAACGAGACTATTGATTAAAGGTTTTGTATTGATGACTATAGGCTAATGTAACGAGTTTTGTATTGATGTGTAATGTTACTTTCATTTCAATCCAAATATAAGGTGAATCATTAAATTATTAAAGATTTAATACAAACAACAACAAATCTGTTCAACTTAGTCCATATATCTCCATCGAAAATGCAAAATATAATTGGTATTTATTTTATTATAAAACATATTTTGGAAGTAAAACAGTGGTAGATGTATATCGCCAAGGAAAATAAATAATACACATTACAGAGTTTTAATTCATTTCCTTCTCAACTAATTTTAATTTCAACAAAGAAAAGTCCGGATAGTCCATTGATTCCCAATCTCCAGGAATAATGTTTAAGAACAGAACTTCAAACTAATTTAGAATCTGTGAGTTATTTTTCAATTCGGTAGTTTTGGATCATGTTTTATATGCTTCTTCCTTTCATTTTTTTTTTTTTTTTTTGTTGCTCCAACCATTTATCCTACTTTGTAGAGTCATCAATTGTTTCCTCGAATATAATAAGCAAACATCCCTCGCTCACATTCTCGCATAACATCTCACATTGTTGCATAAATTAAGAAAATGTACATACCCTTATGATTACGAACAGATTGTCCTATTTAGCAGAAAATCAAAAACCTTTCAAAGCAAGATTCTTTAGATTATTGTCATCATTAAATATTTGAACTTAAGTGCAGTAAATGAATGATGAGGAGAATCGAATATGTCAAAGTATATGAACTATGTCATAATTATTTCAACTTGTTTCATACTTAAACTGACACAAAAATGTTGGATTAAAAATGCTAATTAGCTACAATTTTTTGTGTTTTTTTTCTTTTGTCTTACGATAAGATATATCAAAACAAGAGCAAAAGAATGGAAGCCCTCACATCCTCCTAATGGCAATGCAACAAACAAACAGTTCGAGATGAACACTCAGAGAACTCTAGATGAGAAACAACAATAACAAATTTACCATAGACGTAAGTCGAACAAAAAGGTCTAAAGGAGATAAAATTCCATAACTACTGACAATCTACACACTAAACCAAGTAGAACAGTAAAATAAGCATCCTGATAACATAGATTGAATATAGCTTAAGTAAGAAGAACGAGGACAAAATCCATGAACCTAAGAGCTACGTTCTCACTTTAAAGGATATAAATTAAATTGTTTAATCCGACTATATTATTGTAAGAATCTATATCGGTTAGAGAGAATAACAAAACGACTCAAGTGATAGTGATATGGTTAGATGGTTAGAATGCCAAAGCAATTAAAGCATTTGGGGGAGAGTGATCAAATTGGACTTCCGCCAAATAAGGAGTTAATTGAACTTTAGAAAAAATACCCAAAAATATTTCCCGCTTTAAAAAAAACAACCAATCACCATCAAACACGTTTTGAACAACCATTGGACCTTGAGACGCTGAAGAGAACTGGCGCGTGAAATTAACAATCACACCATCGAAATCCCCAAAACACCCCCACGTCCAGGTCATAATCTCACAAAATTCCGAAGGGCAAAATAGGAAGGAAGTAAAAATCTCCAAACCACACAAATCCACAAATCCCACGAACTCCTTCGCATAAACGCAGCCTTCCTCTTTTCGTTCTTCGCTTTCGAAACGGAAACTCAAAACTCTCTCCCATTTATAAACCTCTTCTCTTCGTCTCTCTCACATTCCCAGATATAAAACATCTCGATTTTCAAACTCTTCCCGCTCCCCCATCAATCCTTCTACTATTTCTTTTTCTTTATCGCAATTTTTCCAGATCTTTTCTCTTCGATCGACGGGAAATTCATCGCTCCACTCTAGGGTTTCCCCATTTGCGAGAGGTCTGTTTTTTTCCCTTAATTTCGTGTGGTTCGTCTTGCGATCAACGGATCGTGTGTGTTATGGACTATCGATTGGGTTTTGATATAGCTTTCATGTCGGTTTTGCGTCTTGCCTTCCTCAGCTGCCTCCTAGGGTTTCTTTAGTTAGATTTGATTGAGTGGGTCGTTGTAGATACCCCCGGCTGAGGGGTTTTTGTTACCCCACTAATGATTGATCTCTTGGTGGAATGGTCTTGTATGATCCCTGTATTTCGTTTAACCCTTATCGCTAATTTGATCTGGAAAAAAAAAAAAAAATCTTCAATAGAGTTCGTTCGTGAGTTCCGTACATGATGTATGGATTACTATTTTTAGTTAATCAATGAACATGGAGTCTTGGTTTGTTTATGATTCGAGGATATTTGTTCATGTTTTTGGGTTTGGGCATTGAAAAAAACGCGAAAACGGTGGTTTTGGTACTTTTTGAAAAATAATATTTTGGAGCAAGAATTTTATGAGTCGCGTTCCGTCATTGCAGAGATTTACTATAAGGAATGGCAGATCAAGGCTTGGAAGGAGCCCAACCCGTCGATCTTAAAAAGCACCCTTCTGGGATTGTTCCTACCCTTCAGTGAGTTCTAACTTTTCCCAACCGCTTGTGTCTTCTATTTGTGTATGATAGTTTGTTTTTGTAGGCCAAGTTATAGCGTTTCATCAGAGTATTAAGTGGTGGGGTTTTTTATTTTTTTTACCAATTTACAACGAGAAATTGATCATGGACGTTTGAAGTGATTTATATCCAGAAATTGGTTTACTTAGGAAAAGACAACAGTTTAACCTTTTGGTCTAAGCGCCATATACACCTCTAATATTGACCTGATGATACTTTCAAATTTGTCGACATTGAATGGCTTAAAATACTCCCAATCTCTTCTCTCCCCCCGTCTCTCTTTCTCTCATGCACACACAAACAGGGAACCTAGCTGTAGATTTTGGTAAAAAGTGAAATTTAAATTGGAATTCTCTGGATAAGTTGTATCCACCTATGAGTTAAAATATTTTAGTTTCAAAAAATTGAAAATATGGACTCTTGCAATTGCAATATAAATTAATTTCATCATAGATTGTAGAATGTGGGGGTTTGCTAACACTTATACTGAATCCGACAACCTTTCTTCTAAGACTTCAATACAAACAAGGAATTCCCGTTTGTGAAGTACAATGTAGTCATCAAATGTATATTTGTTTTGGATTTTCTACAGGAACTCCTTGTATGTACTATATTTTTAATGTTTCTTGTTGAGTGTACAATCTGTTGTATTGTGTCTAGGAACATTGTGTCAACAGTGAATCTGGACTGCAAGTTGGATCTTAAGGCCATTGCTCTGCAAGCCCGCAATGCTGAATACAATCCCAAGGCAAGTGGTGTTTTATGTGCTACTCATCTTGGACGTCAAGAATCCCATTTTCAGGGTGAAATATTATTATTTCCTTTTGAATTTGAACTTTTAAGAATCTCAATTTCCACTTCAATGACAGCGTTTTGCTGCTGTTATTATGAGAATAAGGGAGCCAAAAACCACCGCATTGATATTTGCATCTGGGAAGATGGTAAGCCATTTTCTATCTAATTTCCAAATAAGAGGTGATGAGACAAGAGTTAGCCAGCCATATGGCAGTTGCTTTCAGTGATTTACTACACTTTTTTTTCTGACTGCCACAAAAAATCTTTTGTCCATTTTTGTGTTGGACACAAAAAATGGTAACCTTTATACTTTTTTTTTTTTTTTTTTTTAATTTATAAAAACAGGCACATCCAGACATGGGCAGGGGACAGATTGACTTGATAAAATTTGATGAGAAAATAGATAAGAAAAGCTAATGGACCAAACATGACTTATCTTATTAAGACTAATCGTATAAACCCATCTGAAAGAAATCATGATGGGAGGGCCCTCCTTCACTGTTCTGCTACTAGCATATTACATTCTTTTGGTGTTAACTTTACTAGTTTTGTAAATTTTGAGACTGATTTAGTTTGATGGTTTAATGAGACAGGAAATTTTCCAATTTGATTTGTGGCATAATTGTGTTTCATGTCTATGTGAACCCATGGCACGGCCAATATTTTATTAAATAATAATAATCTCAAACCCACATATTGTTAAGTTATTATGGTTCAGAGATTTGCATCACCTTTTACCTAGTGAATTAAAAATTAAAAAAAAAAAAAAAATCATAACCTCAATCCAATATTTATGGTTTATTCTTTCAATGCTCTTTGCACGAATTTAGGTCAAGTGAGGATTCTTGTCTGCTTAATGTGCCAGTATAGTTACAAGGATGGATTCTTTTTCTTGTAAATCGGTTGTTGCACTTCCGTTGTATCTTGTTTTAGCTATTCAGATGTTTAATGTGGTGTAGGTCTGTACTGGAGCTAAGAGTGAACAGCAGTCAAAATTAGCTGCAAGAAAGGTATTTAATGTCTTTCAGGTGTTCTATCCTAGTTTGTAGAGGTTGTAAAATCGTTTTACACGCCCTGATTCAGTAACACAATTTGTGTCCAGAAACAGTTATTAATTTTAAAAATATTTTCACTGAAAACCTCAAGATATGGGCAAAAAAAATTGGGTGTGGAGAATAGTTGATAGTTTTCATCTTATTGTAAAAGTATGTTTGTATGAATAGTTACTATTTACATATTTAATCGTTGATGTATTCTCTGAGGTTAAATTGTATAGTCAGTTGATGTTCAGGTAAATAATTTTCTTATTAATCTAAAAGCTGTTGGACATCTCATGCATTTACACCCTTCTTTTTGAGATGAAGCTATTTTGTATCTGATATTGTATCTTGTTTCCTCTTTCCAGTATGCCCGAATTATTCAAAAACTTGGTTTTCCTGCCAAGTTTAAGGTATGTGCTTCTCTCCCCCTCGGTAATAATGAAAGAGAAAATAAGATGTAGGCACAGTTCAGTTTTAAAAAAAAACTTCATTATTAAAACTAAATCATGTATCACATTTATTCGCACATATTTGCCAATTTCTTGCGTGCATATCACTGCAAATGCCATTGGACAGTCTTTGAGATCCACAATCTTTTACACATAAATTTCACAGTGAATTACCTCATGATGCGTTTGTTTTTTAATCTGGTGCAGGATTTTAAGATTCAGAATATTGTTGGTTCATGCGATGTTAAGTTCCCCATAAGACTTGAGGGTCTTGCATATTCTCACGGTGCCTTTTCAAGTGTAAGCTCTAGGTCTTTATCTTGGTCTCTATGTGTATTTAATGGGAACGTTATATTCCCACACTATTAAATTTGTTAGAGTCTGGGACGTCCATTGTTATTCAAGCATTTTTCTACTAGAAATCCTGACCTTTTTTGTGCTTGACTTGAATGTATATGTACATGTATATGTTCTTTACTATGATTCTTCAATTTCTTTATGTGATTCTGTGATTTGGATTTTTTCATGAGGAACTAGTACTAATGATTTTTCATGCCTTAAAAAGTTTGCGATGGTACTGAGGCTTGTGGTGTTCTGAGTGATATAAGCTAAATTATTTTGATAGTGTTTGCTTGAGATGAATGGAATCCTTGAGAGTTATTATGATTTTCAATGTTTAAATTGCCTTATGATTTTCAATGTTTAAATTGCCTCATTGTAATTGACATTCCATATATATTTTATTAGGTTAAAACATTATATTTTAATGTTGAACTGGTTAGATATATGGAATGTAACTTTATATTAAAACCTTGATCTCCATTTCTTTTCAGTATGAACCAGAGTTATTTCCTGGATTGATTTATAGGATGAAACAACCAAAGATTGTGCTTCTCATTTTCGTTTCTGGAAAAATAGTTCTCACTGGGGCTAAGGTAATGTTAGATTGCCATTTCCGTTATCGTTCTTGAAATCAATGTCTTGTAGTATTTTTCTATTGCTCTGGTTTTACCTGGTTAGACAGCGCTTGTGTAGCCTCCCTGTGCGTTGGTTTGACTTAAGAAGTTTAGTTATATTTTGCCTTCTAAATGAGAATGTTTGTAGACATTTTATAGGATGGAAGAAACTGTTGGTAGATGACAAAAGATTGTTAATTGTGTTAGAATTACTGTTGAGGTAGATGTTATGAATAAGTTTAGACTGTGTATAGGTAAATAGCTAAAGAGTTTGTTAGCTAGTGCCTACGAATAGCGTAATGGTAGGGTGAAGGCATAATGATTAATTATTTTAGTTGGCCTTGAATTTATTATGGAGGTCTCCAAGTTCCTGGACTTTGATAATGGTCGTCAAATTATTAAAGATTCAACTCGATCTTGTGGATGTTGTGTTTTGAATCCTTCAGGTGAGAGAGGAGACATACACGGCATTTGAGAACATATATCCAGTGCTTACAGAGTTTAGGAAAAACCAGCAATGGTAAGATGCTTCAACCACAATCATCTGATTGCAATATTTTCTCTCCTATTTATTCATTTGGACTGAATTTCTTGGTATGTGGAACTGAGTTTTAACGAATGATCTAAAACTCACTCCAAAATAAAACCAAGCCTATTATTGCCTGTCTAAATGGAGTTCTGTTTGCAGATTAAGCCTTCTGGGAGTTGATTGTCCTTCATGCTTTGGTGACAAACAGACTGACTGTCACATTAGACACAAGCTAGCCTGAAAGAAGTGTTACTTATAGAGAGTTCGCTTCCTGTTCGAAGATATGGAAGGAGGGCTACTGATAGAGCGTTTACAACATGTCTTTTAGTGTCTGTAATAAAAGGTGGGGGGGTGGGGTACTTTAGGCGGCAAATGGAGGTGGTAGGAAGGAAGGTAGGAAGGTGTGGGAACTTTTTTGATGCCGATGTGTGATGTTATGTGATCAAAGTGGGGGAGATATGATATCGTGTATAGAACAATTTTTGTTCCATTAACTGACACCAGACCATTATGCAATTTATATTAAGCTTACTACAGGTCATCTTTATATTTCTACTTTAATAAATTTGAGACTAGAATAGTGAATAAATCAACAAATAGTATTGTTCTTTTAATTCTGTTTTCCTTTTCAATCTATTTTTCTTAGTATATATTTTGTGTGTCCTTTGTACAAAATTTATAAAAACCAAACCCCTATAATTCAGGTCAGGTCAGGTTGTCGGGATCATGTACACAGCTAGCCATGTCGAAAGGCAAACAGACAATGAAACAGGATAAGAAGGGAAAGATCTTCAAAGGGATTGATATTAGGATTATATTGTACTATTTCCCATCCTGCTTCCTACAAGAGATTTACAAGACAGGAAATTGCCAAACCAGTAGAGTAAAAGAAACAGAGACAACAAACAGAAGCAAAAAAAAAAGAAAAAGGTTGGGAAGAAGGATGAAAAGAACTTGATCTTAATAGATATTGAAAAGAAAGAAAAAAACCACTAAATAACTAAGGGTAAAAGAAACTACAATCCTAGAAACCAAAACCCTGTTAAAATGCCACCCACTTACTATAATAGACTCAAAAAGAAGACCAGAGAGAGGTTGTGACCAAATGAACTGAGACTGCACCACCACCACCATACCATCATCATCATAACTCAGCTCTCACCACCATTGATTTGTAAAAATCTAAAAAGCAGCATCATCAGTAGTAGTAGTAGTAGTAGTATTGTGGGATTTCATTCTGGAGACTAGCAAAGCAAGAAGACATTCCATAATTGTGGCCAAAATAAGTATGGAGAGAAGAACTAGCCAGTAGCTTGTTCCCTTTTTTTATATATCCAAAGCACCAAAACTTCTGACAACTCCTTGTACCAACAAGCTCCATTGAACTGCAGGCAGGCAGGAGAGGAAGAAGATGACTGAAATCCTGCACCACTTAGTATCCGTTTACTACACTTCTCTTCTCTGATGCTGTTGTTGTTGTTACTGGTTTAGCACCCTTCGGGGCATCTCCAGTTTTCAAAACTGATCCGTTCTCGGCGGTCTTGGGTGTCTCCTCCTTTACTAAATCATTCAATGGCGCTTCAACTGGCTTTGGAGTTTTCATGTCTACTACTACTTCAGACACATCCTTCTTCTCATCAGTAGGCTTTCCTTCCCAGACCTGCATTTTTAAAAGAGTATTAAATGCCATGAACAAAAACCTTGATTCGGAGAAAAGCATCCTGGAACGTGTTTCATATATGCTCCGCTACCTGTTTCTTGAACTGCTGTTGCTTGGCTTTCTTCTCTTGAATGGTCTTTTGTCGGGTCTCGTAAAAACCAAAATCGTCCAGAATGCATGTTTTGCTCACATGCTCCTTGAAGATTTTAACCATTTTAAGTCCAGGCTCGAGCTTGACCTGCACACAGAACGCGTGTTTTTTTACAACCAGTCACAAATAGATAACCATATACGGAATTACAAGTTCCAAAAAAAAACTACCTCTTGTGTATCCCTGCTGTTGGTAACAGGCTTGTTCTCATTGTTCTCAAGAATAATGTGTTTCAAAAGACTGTTGGGAACATCCTTCACTACATGCCACTTAACAGGGAAACAGCCGTTCCATTTGTCTTGTTGCCAGTATTCCAAGTTCTTCTGAAAGTCGACTGGTCCTACCATCTCAGCAAGGCCAACAAATTGCCCACTGGTATTGACCTATTCAAGGATAAACATGATATCAATTGCAAGGAGAAAAAACAAATAAACGTTAGTAATAAATAACCATTTCAGTTAGATACGCACCGAAAAGAAAAGAAAAACGGAGCAACCACCAGCCTTCTCTTGGGCTTCCTGGTATGCAGCGTCGAGTTTCTTGTTTCCATTAGGTGTGCTAGCCCAAACATTATATTTGATGCTTTTATGCACATCATCTTCGCTGTACGATTTAATAACAAAAAATCTGGCCTCAGCATATTCCTCAGGAAAATCTACTTTGTTGTATTGATCCCGGTCTGGTGTGGACACCTTATCCTTTTCTTCATCGTCAGCTGCATTCGTAGGCAAGAGTTGTCCCTTCACAGTCAGAACACTTGGCACAAATCCCTTCTGGTTCTTGCCACCCTTAGCTCTTGGTCCCCTGTTAAGCTCATTCAAACCATCCATGTTTTCATTTCCATATCCATAATAACCACCATTTCGTCCCCTAGGCTTGTATTTGTTGTCCACAGCAAGCCAAACACGACCATTAGATCGTGAATCATAACCATGTGAGGCAAACCCTACACCAGATCGAACTGTATTTCCAAATTGACCGTACAATTTATTGGGGTACATCCTATTTATATAACCCTGGGAGGTATTCATTCCTGACATTGGTCTAGCATGGGGAAAACCCTGTATCACAAAAGAAGATGAAAGAAATATATTAAATGATGAGAATTCAGAAGGGAAAAGGTGCATAGAAGTAGTAGAAATAGGAAGCCTAACGATGCTTACTACATAATGAGAGCCGGGACGGAAACTAGGACTCCTTGAAGAAGGCATGTTGTTTGCATTAGTGATAGAAGAATTGATAGTAGAGCTACTGACAAGCCTAGACTGACCATCTGAGTACATAGAACCATCCGTCCATGGGAAAGAAGATCTCAACCCATCAAAACCATATCTCGGATCCTGATAACCCGAAGTAGGAATATGTCCTGGCAAAGCACCCCTAGCATATGCATTAGAACCCAATGTTGAATTATGATATGCGGATTTTAAGGGAGCTGCACCGTTATTTCCTTTCGTTCCACCGCCATTCGTCAAGCCATTACCATTGGGATTAGCTGTGTCCACTGAAATGGGCTTTTGCTCAGTGGCTGCAGGGGTAGAAATATCTCCCTGAGATTGAGGAACTGTAGTAGGACTAGGAGTATACTGCCCACTGGTTGGAGTAAGAGGTTGAAAATATGGGGGATATTGATAGTGCTGAGGTCCATACAGCTGACCGTCATTCCCCATAGAGGGAACCGGAGAAGCTGCAGGTGAATAGGGACCATAGGGTCCATATCCGTAACCATGGTGATACATAAGAGATCCATTATCCCCGTAGACACCCTGAAGAATTTGCAAGAAAAACAAAAACACAACAGATTAGAACAGCTCAATTTGGTAACAAGTGAAATTGTGGAGAAAAATCAGTAGCGATAACTTACAGAAGTCATTTCAACCCCATCTGAATTTGTATATCTAGAATAATCCTCCCATTCATTACCAGCCCCATCATAACCTACAAAACAACCATCAGGAAGTTAGAGACAATGAGTACAACTTGTTAGAACATATATTATTACTACATGAACTTGAATGCATAATAAAAGGATACCGTTTCAAGAGAAACCACTCATACAACCAAATTCTGGCATCCATAAATTAACATACCTCCATAGTAATAAGATGGGTATCCATTCGGTACATAGCACATGTTTGGATCCACAAAGTCCTGTAAAAATGGAGTCACAGACCGTTCATTTGGAATCTGACCAATAGCAGCATTCCCAGAATCAATGGACCCATATTGATTAGCGGTTGGCTGCAAAAATAAATAAATAAATAAATCAGCAGTCAACTCATGAAAAACGAAGAATAAGCGCACAACTAATCAAAATCTCACCAACTCGCCCTAATTAGATAAAGTTGACACAAAAAGGACAACTTGAAACAGGCAATATTTCTGTTGTATGCCTATTTAATTGAAAATATTTACTAAAAGACACTCATAACAGGGGATATCAGTGAACTTCAATCTTCTTGCAATACGTCTACAAGAAAAAAGAACTTCAGCTTTGAATCAAGGAAGCAGTACCTTTTTCGTTGACTCTGGAATCTCAACAGGCTTGGCCTGAGCATCCAATGACAACTTCTGCAGCAAATCTGCAGCTTCTGTAAGAATCAGAAGTAAAGGAAATACACACTTCGTGCCACAAAATCAATATACACTCAAGATCACCTAAAGTCATTCAAAAGAACGAAAGATGGGCAAAAACATTACTTTTACGTACAAACCCAACTAATAACATTAACAAGAAAGAAGTAATTCAAAAAGATGCGAAAACAAATTAGATCTCATCATGGAAACAACACAGAAACCTTCAACAGCCAAACGCAAACGAAGATAAATCAACTACGCTACTCCCATAACCACAGATCAAATAGAAACCCAAAACATCGAAGGTTAGCCAATACAAAACTATCCCCAATAATCTCTAATCCCCCCTAGACAAAATACTCCAAACCCAGAAAAGCACGTACATAATCAAGAAAAGAAGAAAACCACATCACAGATCTACAAATCAAAACCGACAAGCACCATAAACCAAGATCCAATTCGAAAAGACAAAAGGGCACACACAAAAACACAGAAAACAGAAAACCCATATGAAATCCGAAAGTAAGGATACGATCCGTAGAAGGAGGCGAAGCAACGGTAGCCATGGAAGTAAATCTCGCAGAGACAGAGGAAAGAACAGGATGGAGGGAGCTGCTGAAGAGCTGGCAATGAAAAAAAACCCTAAAATCCCAAAACAAGAACTGGATAATGGAAGACGAGGGTTTGGAGATGAAAATCAAAGGGAAAAAACCCTAAAGAGAGAGAAAAAAAAGGAGGAAAACAGAGAGAGAGAGAGAGAGAGAGAGAGAGAGAGAGAGATGGGGTGGGCAAAGGGGAACCAACGGGTCTCGCAGCCGCCAGAGGGTTTCTTCTGGGTTTCGGGAAGAAAATAAAGAGAGGGTTTTGGACAGCCAAAACGGTGATTCAAATAGCATACACAGAGACCCTCGCTTCAGTTCCAAAACCCTCACCCGCGGGTGATTTATCCCGACTTCCTATTCGGTGGAATTCCACGTGGCTGGTTTTGAGTGGTGTGGTGACGCGGAAAGGGAGACTTAGGAGAAGTCAATGGAGGGGTTTGATTGGTGGGTGATGTAAAGATGGGTAAGGATAAGGGAAAGAGAACATGGTGGAGTTATTGCCACTTAGCAGAGGAAAACCTAATTGGGAAAGGACAAGGGTGTCCCTATCTGGGTTGGGAT